GCGAGGGTCTGGAGATCTCTGATGGTCGGGGATCCCCGCGAGTCGGGTTCCGGGCGAGGGAGTTGGAAAACCTAAGTTCCACCGGGTTACCCGGCGGATAGTTGCATTTCAGGGGATATAAATCTTTCATCTATCATGTATAGTAGATAAATCATAATAGCAGTCCGGAAGGAAAAAATGAAAATAAAAAAAAAGAGAAATGACAAAAATCACTGGCTGGAAACCGCATCTTCCACATTGGGATCTACAATAAACAATGGACCAAAGGTACGGTACCAGTCTTTGAGGCACAAGAGTACCTCCACATTAAGAGAGGACAGGGAAGCACGTTGAGGACCTAAAATGTTCTTAGTCTTACTGAAAACCCCCTCAGAGGGAGAACTAGTGGCTGGGATCGCTAGAAAAGTCATGGCCATCTTGGCCAGCGCAGGATATATGTCCTCGCGAGATTTCCAATAGGCCAAAACGTCTGACTCTCGCGGTTCGGTAAGTTCAGACAAATAGCGACTGATCTCGGTACCAATCGATTGATCACGTTGGTTGTGGCGATCTCCGTAGATCGCATCTTCAAAGTACTGATGAGTTGAAGAGGTAGGTTTTCTACTTGGTATCACTTGAACTTCGGGTGGGGGATGCTCGAACTTCCTTGCTTCGTTATCAAACATTGATCTGATGTCTGAAATGAGTAGATCATAATCACTCATTATCAACTCTCGATCCTATTTTCAAAGTTAATAGAATATGATCAGTACAAACTACATAGGTGGAATCACAAGATCTCTTCGACTTACTTGAAAGTATTGTAATTTGAGGCGTGGATCAAGAATAGTCGCGCAGATAGGACCAGGTTTTGAAAGGACCTTCTTGAAGTATTCTTCCAACTTCACTATCATCTTCTTTGAAGCAGGAATTAACTGATCGTGATCGTATTTCTGAGCTACCTGCAAGATCAAAACAATCTTAAAATTAGGAAAGGTTATTGAGATAAAATGAAAAGAGAAAATAAACTGACCGATTTGAGTCCTTGAATCACTACAATTTACATAGGCACTACTTGGTGCATCGTCGGGAAATTAGATCGACAAAGCATCTCAGTTGCAGCACTGAGTGGTTCTAAAAAGTCGCACATTTGTTCTACATAGTCCCACTCTGCAGGTGAAAGAGCAAATTTTTTAAAATCACGGGCCTTGCAGAATTCATCGCAAGCTTGACGTAATCGGAGGAGCCTTCGAAACATATAATAAGAGGAATTCCAGCGGGTGGGTACATCAGGAACCAATCGATTTGCAGCTCCATCACGATGTTGTGGCATAGACTGATTTTCTTCTCGGTTCAAGTCATTCATCATGTACTCAACAGCTTCCGAATCTTGATGGTTGACCACACGGGGAGTAAGAGGTCCATCATCGTCGTCAAGTGTGTTCGCAAGCATGTTGAACCCATTTGGACGACGTTGGCGAACGCTTGGGCACGT